CCTACCTACCTACCTACCTACCCTCCTACCTCTCTCTGTGTCTATCTACTTATTCATCCATCCATCTATCTTGCTCTCTATCCATCCACGTATCTATCTATCCATCCATCTGTCCGTCCATTTATCCAGCCATCCAGCCATCCTCTCTATCTCTAGCTCTTTACCTACCTACCTATCTCTATCTATTCATCCATCCATCTATCTTGTTATCCATCCATCTACGTACCAACCTACCTGCCTACCTACCTACCTATCTACCTATCGTCTATCTATCCATCCATCTGTCCATTCATCCATCTCTATCTCTCACTTTCTACCTACTACCTACCTATCTTTCTCTACCTATTCATCATCCATCTGTCTTGCTATCCATCCATCCATGTACGTACCTACCTACCTGTCTACCTACCTACCTACCTATCATCCATCCATCTATCCATCTTTATCTGTCTACCCATCTATCTGTCCATCCATCCATCTCTATCCCTAGCTATCTACCTACCTACCTATCCACCTACCTATCATCCATCCATCCATCCATCCATCCATCTCTGTCTCTCTGTCTACCCATCTATCTGTCCACCCATCCATCCATCAATCTCTATCTCAAGCTACCTACCTACCTATCTACCTATCATCCATCCATCCATCTATCTCTATCTCTGTCTACCCATCTATCTGTCCATCCATCCATCCATCTCTATTCCTAGCTATCTACGTACCTATCTACCTACCTACCTATCTACCTACCTATCATCCATCCATCCGTCTCTATCTCTCTATCTACCCATCTATCTGTCCATCCATCCATCCATCTCTATCCCTAGCTACCTACCTACCTATCTACCTACGTATCATCCATCCATCTATCCATCTATCTCTGTCTCTCTATCTACCCATCTATCTGTCCATCTATCCGTCTCTATCCCTAGCTACCTACCTACCTACCTACCTATCATCCATCCATCCATCTCTATCTCTATCTACCCATCTATATGTCCATCCATCCATCCATCTCTATCCCTAGCTACTTACCTACCTATCTACCTACCTACCTACCTACCTACCTATCTACCTACCTACCTATCATCCATCCATCCATCTATCTCTGTCTCTCTATCTATCCATCTATCCATCCATCTCTATTCCTAGCTATCTACCTACCTACCTATCATCTATCCATCCATCTATCTCTATCTCTGTCTACCCATCTATCTGTCCACCCATCCATCTATCTCTATCCCTAGCTATCTACCTACCTACCTACCTACCTATCTACCTACCTATCATCCATCCATCCATCTCTATCTATCTACCCATCTATCTGTCCATCCATCCATCCATCTCTATCCCTAGCTACCTACCTACCTATCATCCATCCATCCATCTATCTCTATCTCTCTATCTACCCATCTATCTGTCCACACATCCATCCTTCTCTATCCCTAGCTATCTACCTACCTACCTATCTACCTACCTATCATCCATCCATCCACTATCTCTATCTCCCTTGCTACCCATCTATCTGTCCACCCATCCATCCTTCTCTGTCCCTAGCTACCTACCTACCTACCTATCATCCATCCATCTATCTATCTCTGTCTCTCTATCTACCCATCTATCTGTCCACACATCCATCCTTCTGTATCTCTAGCTAGCTACCTACCTATCTACCCACCTACCTATATCCATCCATCCATCCATCTCTATCTCCCTTGCTACCCATCTATGTGTCCACCCATCCATCCTTCTCTGTCCCTAGCTACCTACCTACCTATCATCCATCCATCTATCTATCTCTGTCTCTCTATCTAACCATCTGTCTGTCCACCCATCCATCCATCTCTATCCCTAGCTATCTACCTACCTACCTACCTACCTACCTGTCATCCATCCATCCATCTATCTCTATCTCTTTGTCTACCCATCTGTCTGTCCACCCATCCATCCTTCTCTGTCCCCAGCTACCTACCTACCTACCTACCTACCTGTCATCCATCCATCCATCTATCTCTATCTCTATCTCTCTGTCTACCCATCCGTCTGTCCACCCATCCATCCTTCTCTGTCCCCAGCTACCTGCCTACCTACCTGCATACATTGCAGTGCAGACATGGCAGATTCGTGCAGGGTCTGCTGTATGAATGGACACAACGTGCGTGTCCCGTCTGGCTGGTGGTTGGCCTGTCATGATGCATTGAGTGGTTTACTCAGAGCAGCTTGTGTCCATGACAGAGGGTGTCGACATCCGTGAACTAGTGTTTGATGCAGGCTCCACCTGTCTTGGGTCAGTGCCTAGGAGTGGAACTGCCGTGTCCTGGGGCGAGCGCGTGTTCAGCCCTGGCAGATGGTGCTACGCGGCCCGGGAGTGGATGGGCCGTCAGGTGCTCCCATCGGCTCCCATGCAGCAGCCCGCCCCCTAGATCCACTTCTGGAGTTTCTGAGGGCAACGCATGTCCCAGATATAAAGGAGGCCAGCGCCACTGGTCGTACTTGTTAACAGCGATGGCGGGTGACCATGAAAGCAAACAGTGGAAGCTGAGCGGGACAGCCCTCAGACGGGCTGGCGGGGCGTCAGGTCCTCCAGCAGGAGCTGTGACTTCCCAGAGGGCCCAGGGGTCCCAGTGCCAAGGAGGGCAGCCTTTTCTCCCCGGCTCCTCTCTCCTTAGGTCTTGGGCATGCCTGAGATCTCTGCCCACGGCCCTTGAGCGCAGAGGGCAGGGCCAGGGTCTGTCTGCTGCCTGCAGCTGGCCCACGGGGGACTGAGGGGGTGAGCTGGTGGAGGAGTGGTCTGGGAGCAGGGTTGGTACCAGGGAGAGCAGCGTCAGGCTACTGCATCCTGGGGACAGAATCACAGGCCAGCGGGAGAGCTGAGGCCCCGTCAGGAGGCACGCGCAGTGGGCTCAGCCACTGACCTGATGTGGGCGTGAGGAGGGACAGTGGTGGCTGATGCCTGTGGAGATGGTGGAGGACCCAGGAGGGGCCTGCCTGGGGAGACAGCGGGCAGAGGTGTCGGGCCAGTGGTGGGCCTGGAGACACCCCCCCCCACCAGGGAGCCGTGGATGATGATTCGTGATGCAGAAGTAAAGGGCACATTCGGCCTATCCATAGGTGCACGAGACGTGACTATCAGCTTATTGTTGACCTGCTCTGATAAACGTCATTCAGTGTGCGTCACCTGTCACACACCCACGACAAGACATCTCGGACGTCTATGTGAGCCACCTCCTGCCCTCCCAGGCCGGGCGCCTTCATCTTTTGTCTATATTTTTGTTATTTCTTTGCAGAGCTCTTTTTAGTGGGTACATGATAGTTGGCGTATTTAAGGGGTAGAGTGTGGCGTGGCAGGACCTGTGAGCAACGTGTGACGACAGATGGGGCGATGGGCATGTCTGTCGCCTCAGACATTTGTCACTTACTTATTCCTGATGGGGAACCTCGGGGTCCCTGCTGGGCTGGAGGACACTGGAAGCTGTCCTCAGGCCCTGCGGCAGCCCCAAACCCAGCCATCCTCTCTCCTCCCCGCCCCCCCCCCCCGGCTCTGGAAGCCTCCTCTGCTCTGTGCACAGGTGAGATTCCTGGAGATGGCCTTCCTCTCTCTGCCTGAGCATAAAGCAAATCTCGGCCATCCCATCAGTCCACCCCTACATTCTGCGAGAGCACCTCTGGAGAAAGAAGATGGACCATTTCTCACACCTTTGCAATGCTGTCCCCCATTCAGCAAAATCAGGGGCAGTCCCTTGGTCTCATCAGATCCCCAGTTCTTCATGAATTCACATGCTCTTCTTAAATAAGTCTTTTTAGCGGTTTTTATAATCTGCATCCAAACATGGAATCCTCCACTTCAGAGACCTGTTGAGTTTCTAAGTTCTCTTTGAATGTACAGGTCTAAAGATCTGATAGAACAGTCTGTATTTGCGTAACCCAAGCAAAGAAGAAAAAGCTTTAAGAAGATTCCCACTCTAACCGTGTGCATTTTTTTAAAAAAGTAACTATTTGTAAGGGCAGTCAGTGGTCAGGGCAGTCAGTGGTCATCTATGTGATTTCAGGGATGCATGCACCTTGCTGCAGCAGATCCCGGTGGGGGGCGCTCAGCATCACTATAAGTCATTACAGTTCAGATGGCTTCTTGCCAACAGCTTCCTGGTTGCAGGTTAGTCAGATACAGAATGAGAACATTGAAAAATGTCTCTTTGATCACAGACTTTAAACCCCTACATGGCAAATCGGTCATTTTTATGACAAAGGAGACAGTGGGGCTGCAGGCCCTCTGGGAGGGCCAGGTCCTTCTCTTGGTGACAGAAGATTGGATTTATCCATTTTCCATTGCCATAGAAAAACACCTGAGACTGGGTACTTTATAAAGAAAAGAGGTTTATTTAGCCCACAGTGGTGGAAAATCAAAAGCCCACGATTGGTTTGCCCTGGTGAGGGTGGCCTTGCCGTGTGACACACAGGACCTCTGGTGGGAGTGTGTGGGAGAGACCACATCGCCAGGCAGGTAGCCAGAGATTCCAAGGCGGGGCTGGTGTCAGAGACTAACCAGGGTCCCTGGATACCTCCTTGCTGCCTCTCAAGGACAGGCCTGGGTGACCGATGACCTCCCTGTCGGCCCCACCTCTTAAAGGGCCCACCACCTCCTATCATCCCCATGCTGGTGGTGTCGCCAACCTATGGATGCTTGGAGACAGACCATGAGCAAGGCAGGGACCTGAGGGTGACTCTGTCTTCTGAAGACCCGCGACTGTGCTTCGGGTGTGGATCGGGAGTGTGCGCCTGTGGGCACACACTCAGCCCAGCCTTCCCTCCCCTGCTTTGTTGGCCTCCGGGCACTCATTGCCGTCGACACACCGTGTCCTTGCCGTCCCCTCTCTCTTCCCGCTAGAGCGCGAACCCCACAGTGTGGCTTTGTGGTGATGGCTGGGTGCCTCTGGCATCTGGGACAGAGCCTGGCGCCCTGCGCTTTTTAACTACGCGTTGAGCGGCCGGATGTCTGTCAGTCCTTAGATTCTGAATCCTGTTCCTGGGACCAGAGGAGAAGCCGTCCCTGAAGCCCCACGTCCTCCTGGGGACATGCAGAGCCTCAGGCCTGAGCAGGCGCGGGGGCTGCTGGAGCCCGAGAGGGCCACGGTGCTGCTGCCCTGGGAGAGCAGGGCCTGGGAGAAGTCCACGCACCCGAGCTTCGCCAAGGACTGGGAGGCCGTGGACGTCGGGGCCTCTGGCTGCGAGAGTGAGAGAGGTGAGGGAGGGTCCCGGGGGAGGCGGGAGGGTCTCAGCTGGGCTCCGGGAGACGGAGCCCTCCTTCCTGGCTGGTGTTGGCTGGCTAGCTGGTGGACACGGGCCATGGGTCTCTAGCAGGCCGTCCAGGACTCTTCCGCGGAGGCCTGCGGCCTTCTCAGGAGCAGCAGGAGAGGCGGCAGGTCTCTGCCGAGTGCCCAGTTATTCCTCGGCCATTGGGCAGGATGAGCCGCAGGATCAAGCCCAGAATCAGCAAAGAAAGGGGCTACCGGGGGTGGACACAGACACTTGGTGACGAGCGTGGACACTGCTGTACGCCAGGCACCGTGGTGAGGGCTGGGGATATAGTGGGAGGGCCCGGCAGGGCTCAGATTCCAGTGGAGACAATAGACGTGCCCAGCTTTGGGCAGTGGGACGGATTGGTTTGCTCCAACGGGGGTCATCTGCTGCCATCTAGTGGGTGGAAGTCTGGGCCGTTTTGTAAATCTGTGGGACTCTGGCCCAAATGTGGCAGTGCCCAGGGTGAGAAGCCCCGCCTCTGAGCCTGAGAGGTTGCAGGGTTCCGAGGTCGCGGGTGGCAGCTGTCCAAGAGAGAGAGAGGTGAGAGAAGTGGACAGACTCGGGCCACATTTGAGAGGGAGAATTGGTTCTTGCTGGGGACATGGGGAAGTGAGAGAAACCAAGGGTGGCCCTTGGGGGTTCTGACCAAGACAGTGGGACAGCTTGCTGTTTGCTGAGGCGGGGGCATCTGAGCCTCAGCCCACTGCAGAGGGGGCTGGACCGTCCTCCAGGGACCGTCCCCCTCCTCCATCCTCCACTGTCCTCTTCCCTGGGTCGGAGGCAGGGGACTGGATGGAGCTTAGGTGTGGGAGGGAGGAGGAGGCTTGGGCCCTGTGGGGCTGTAGCAGAGGAGGACGGGAAATGCCAGTCTTTGCTCAGCTTAGGGATGAGGACCCTGAGGGGCCACTGTGGGAAATCTCCCCAGGAAGCTGTCATCCTGATGTCACTCCCTGGCTGCTGCTTCTGCTCCCTCAGTCAGTTTTGCTGGAGGCCCATGGAGAAGAGCTCCTGCCAGTGGACACGTGAGGGGACGAGGCCTAGGGAGAAGGGCCCGTCAGGTGTGCCAGTGTGAGACCAGGAGGCTGTAGGGTCCGAGTTCTCCCATCCTCTCCTGCCCACCTGAGCTAGACTGGCCAGTGCAGCTGGCAGGAGTCAGCAGAGAAGGGTAGGACGCCAGTGGGAAGAGGGAGAGGGGCCTGCCTCAGTGGCCTGGTCACTCACCCCTGCCTCCTTCCTCCTCTGCTCCTCCCCCGTCAGACCTGTCTTCTCAAGACACGGGACTTTCCCAGGAGTGGTGCTCAGTGGAGGAAGATGATGAGTCGGAGGACTCCCAGGTATGTGGCAGGCGGGCTTCTCTCCTTTTCCATAAATGTGTCACCCTGAGGACCTCAGGGGGCTGCCGTGCTTTCCTCTTTAGCCTGGGATTTCCATGCCCCGTGGAATTTCCGAGAGTTGTCTTGTGGGAAAGAGGACATATTCTTATGGTGATCAGACACAAAGACACTATGTGATATGTATGTAACTTAATCCACACATGCTCTTCATCCCTGCACTCATAAACCCACCCATCCATCTGTCCATCTCTTCACCCTTCCATCCATCCATCCATCCATTCACCCATTCATCCATCAAACTACCCTCCATCCTCTCACCCATCCATCCATCCACCCATCTACCCCACCCACCCACCCATCCATCTATCCATCTCTTCATCCATCCATCCATCTACCCACCCATCCATCCACTCACCCACCCATCCATCCATCCACTCATCTACCCCATCCACCCATCCATCCATCCACCCATCTATCTACTCATCCACCCACCCACCAATCTACCCATCTCTGTACCCATCCATCCATCCATCCACCCATCCATCCATCCACCCACCCACCCATCCATCTACCCATCTACCCATCCTTTCAAACATCACCAACATTTCATCCATATGTTCACTGTTATATCTACCCAAACTATTATTCACCCACTCATCCATATCCCTGTGACATCCACCTGTCCATCCATCCACCTCACCTATCTGTTCACTTATCTGTCCATTCACTCTCCCCTCTACTTACCCTCTATCTCTAGTCATCAGTCTATCCACCACCCATCCACTCCTCCATCTCCCATTGAACACCCACCAATCATTCATATGTTCACTTGTTCATCTGCCCAGTCCTTAACGCCCTGTTCACTTACGTTCCCATCTCATCGCCCATGTATCTAGTTATCTACATGCTTTCTCATATACCCTTTTAACCACATGCCAGCAATTCATCTATCCAACCTACCTGCCCCTACACACTTGAGCAGTAGCACAGGGGTCATAAGGAGGGAGAGGAGTGGAGGGCAGTAGTAGGTGAGGCCATGGAATGATGGGGTAGACAACGCAGGGTCTTGTAGACCACTGCAATCATTTGGGGGACACAGTCAGAGCACTGCAGAGATCAAGGAGCAGGTTGTGGGAAAGAGGACACATTCTTATGGTGGTCAGACACAAGTGAAGGGTCTCCACATGATATGTATATAACTTCATCCACACGTGCTCCAGAAGGAACCCAAGGTCAATTTAGACAGGCTGTTTGAAGAGGCCTCTGTGAGGTCCTTCGCTTATCCATTCACCCATTCAGGTTCATCCATCCATCCACCCACCCATTCATCCATCAATCCACTCACCTGGTCAGCCCAGCTGAACCTTCTGCATGGACAGGTGCTCCTTCCTTGGAGTTGTATTCCAAGAGTGAAGAAGTTCCCACTCTGGAGGAAAAAAGGGTCCTGTTACTACCATTCTATAAACACAAGCAGGTGCAACACTTGCAAATCCTATCCGAGTGTGTGAGTTTAAAGGAAAAAAGAAATACCAGTGCCCAGAAAAGTTCCCTGGTGAAGGTTGCTGTAACAGGTGAATTCTTCCACAACACTAGAGGTAGGACAGAGGTGGACTAGTGAGAGTGGGAGGGAACCTGGGGATTGGGGTACTGGTGATGATCTACTTCCTGTTCTGGGAGCCGCTTCGTGCAGTATTCACCTCTGAAGATTGCTCAGAGACCTCCCCACGTTCAAGGGGGCATGTCTTAAGACCCCAGTGGATGCCTGAAACCCAGGAGAGTACCACATCCTGTATGTCCTGTTTTTCCCTGTATGTGCATACCTATGATACAGTATAGTTTATAAATTAGAGGAAGAGATGAACAACAATAACTAACCAGAGTTGAAGTGGTGTTTTAAATCTGTAAGACTTTCTAAACCAAATTTTCATCCATTATTCTGAAATTTTCTCCAATGGAGCATAGGCATGTTATTTTTGTGCATTTATCTTATATCTAGTCACTTTGTTGTACCGTTTTAATTTCAAAAAGCTTTTCTTTTGATGTGCTGTTTCTTTTCTGGCCAGATAATCTATTTTCCTGCAAGTGATGGTGCTGGCCCCTTCCTGTGGTGTTCACACTTACCTCTCTTCTGTTTCAGGGCTTTGTGGAGTGGTCGAAAGCTCCACAGCATACGACTATAGTCCTGGTGGTGTGCGTGCTGTTTCTGTTCCTGGTTTTGACGGGGATGCCCATGATGTTTCACATTTAGCTATAAGAATGGCTGTTGTTTTCAGATAGATACCCTGTGTCATTTTAAGGAAATGTTTGGCCTAAAAATCAGGAATGAGTATGAAATATTATCAAATGCCTTTCAAACATCCACTGAGATGATTTAAAAAAAAACTTTTTAGTATGAGATTTTGCATTACTGTATTTCATTAAAATTAGGCCTCATTGATTGTAAGACACATTTTATTTTATATATCACTGAGAAAAAATGGTAATCAATTGCAAGATGTCAACAATCAGAAGACTCCTCTTAACTTCAGAGGGGGTGAAAACAGCTTAGCGGCTGTGGAATCTGGCGACTTCCTGGCACCCTGGTCTTCCCATTCCTGGGGCTGGGGTGTGCCAGTCTTCCTACGCTGAGTTCCTTTATTCCATGTTTACGTGGGACTCTTGCCTCTCTTCACGAGTGAGTTTGGTGCTATCTTTGTGAAGTTCGGCATCATGGCTAGCTTGCATCCCAGGAAGACCTGAGTACCTTCGCCCTTTCTTTGTTTTGGGATACTTTCTGTAACCTGAGAGGGCCCAAGGCCTTGCCAGTTGAGAAGAGTTCACCAGTAAGGCAGCCAGGTCCCAGAGCCACGGAGGGGAGGGTCAGGGGAACCCTTGGGCAGCCTTCTCAATACCCTCACGATGGCAGTCTATTCATACCTTCTACATCTTGTTCCTTTTGATGGTTTACGGTGGCCTTTCATCCCCTAAAGGATTCTTCATTCCATAGACTTTTTCAGATAGCTACTTTAATTACGTGTCCTATTTTATAATTAAACACAGACTTTCTCTTTGTTGCGTTCTAGCCATATTCTCCTTTTAACTTCTGCCTGCAGTTTATTTCATAATTTGATTTGAAAGTTTTAACTGGCTTATTACTGTTTTTTCAAAGAGTCAGCATTAGGATTTATTTATATCCATTATTTTTCATTTGTAATTCATTTTTCTTTAATATATATTGTGTTTTATTTTTACTTGTTTTTATTCCTTATCTCAAATTTTAAGTTGAATACTTAATCTATACTCTCTTTATATTTGCAATAATAGCATATTTAAAAATATAAATGTACTTCTGGATACAGCCTTGGCCACATGTCAAAGTTGGTGAGTCATCTTCTTGTTTATATAGTTTTTTGTTTTGTTTTGTTTTTGTAGTGTTCCTAGAGAGTGCTTTGAATCTCAGTGATTTGGCTAAATTTTGCTTAAAATTCGTTTCTGGTTTTACTGCACTGTGAACAGAGAACGTGGCCTAGAATAGATGTTCTTTCAAGACATTGTGAGAAGCTGTTACTGCAGCCTAGGACATAACTGGTTTCTCTAGTTTAATGGACATTTAAGATGAGCGTGTGCTCATCGTCTGTAGAAGTTAACTGCTTTTGAGTCTGCTCACTGGCCAGGCATGGTCAGTTATACTGCTCATATTTCATGTGATTTAATGTGGCCCACTGCATCTATCAGAAACTAATCAGACTGTGTGAAAATCTGTTAGCGCAACTGGTTTACCAATATATTTTTATAATATTGGCTTTATGTATTCAATAGCTGTGTAAATCAATGCAGATAAGTCCAGCACTGCTGTCTTAGTCAAATAGGCAATATATGTAATACACCAAGCACAGTTCCAGGCATACAGTAGGCACTCAATAAATGTCAGTTAAAACTTGACCCTGAATCTTCTATCAAATATGAAATGATTGCCTTCAACTCAGCCTTTGCCTTAAAATTTACCTTGTCTAATGCTGGTTGATATTTTCATTCTGCTCTTTTTAAAATTGTGTGTGTGTGTGTGTGTGTGTGTGATGTCTGTTGTTTGTGCGATGTGTGTGGTGTGTGTGTGTTTATCTTTCTTCTGGGAGCTCGTGGGCTGCCACAGAGCTGGGGCTCCATGGAGGCTATGGATGTGAAGAGGATCAGGACCACCAGGAGGCCACACCAGGCACGCGGGCCTGGGCTGCTCGCTGGGCCGCAGGCTGCATGCTGAGCTGGGCGCAGCTGGCCTCGGCAGCCCAGGGTTCCTGCTGCACCACCGCCAGGCGCCCTCCTTAGGCACAACTTTGCCCCCTTGGACTCCGGGGTCACCCATGCGGGCCTCAGTACTCACACTGGCCTCCTGTCCTGCTCGTACCAGCCTCCCTGATCCCTCTCTTGTGGGAGTGCAAGTGCCTGCTCGGGGGTTGTGCCTGCCCCGGGTGCCCCTTCTGGACGTCTCCCTGCAGAGAGGCCCTAGCCCCTGGGCAGCACTCCCCTCTCGGGCCTCTTGCAGGGTTCTCACGGCTGAGGGGCAACAGGGGAGCCTCGTCAGCGCGGTTCCTGCAGAGCTCCCTGGGCAGCAGCCTCCAGGTGCTTGGAGCAGTGCGAGCAGGACCCCGCCCTCTCCCACCCGTTGGTCCCATGCGCTTGAAGCTGCATTGCCCACTCTAGAGCAGGGCGTGGACCCAGGCGGCATCTGGAAGTGGCCTCTGGGGAGTATCCGCAGGGGAAATCTGTGCGCAAGCCTGCGAATTCCACAAGGCTGAGGTGATAGGGAAATGCTGGACGCCCTTCAGGGACTCTCTGAGGACAGCAGTCCCCTCCCCAGAGCAACCAGCTTGGGGTTGACAGTTTGCTGCACGCTGCCCCCCCCCCTGGGGGGGGGGCTTGGCATCCGGTGCTCAATCAGCGCAAGCTAATTCCCTGCCAATCCTGGAGAGTCTCAAGGTCACAAGCTCGGAAGTGTCTTCTAGAATGATTCCTCTGGAGTCCGCTGCTAGGGTCCTACAGCAGCAGACTCAGGGTAGACTCTTAAACAGCAGGAGGGATTCAGGCAGAATCTTGCTCCCCTGCAGCGCCAGGAGCTCACCGCCAGAGGATCAGCCAACACTGACACAGTGCCAAAGCGCCCAGTGCCAATGGACTCAATGGAGATCCCTCACCTGCTGGCACAGCCCAGCGCCCCTTGTGAACTCAGCACTTAAGCACTGAGAGGCACCGGAGGCACCTGCGCCTGCGCACTCCCACTAGGCTGCTCTTGGAAGGGATTCAGAAGGCCCCGCCCACTGGCCTAGCCCTCTCCGCAATCGTGGCTCCGCCCACAGTCCTGGCCCCTCCCACAGCCTAGTGGTCTCCGCAGAAGGGTCCAACTACCCGCTTGGGCTCACCTGCTGTCTCGGGTGACCAAACTTTGTCCATAACTGTCAACTAGGGTTCCATTTCACTCATTTGCCCATTCACCCAACATTTCCAGAGCACCTACTGTGTGTTGAGTTCTAGGCTGGGTGATGTATCAGGCATAGGGAGGAGCCCACTGTGTGATCTCTAACCCTGAATGGCTCTAGGGCTGGTGCTGGGGGTGTACAGTTATTCTTTAGGACCCTGGGCATTTCTTGAGGACCTTCTGTGTGCTGAGAACTGGACTGGACAAAGTTTGGTCAGAGGGAGGCACCAGACTCCACGGTCCTCACCCTGCTGTCTCCTGTGCTGGTACTGAGGAGATTGAGCCGCTTATTTATCTGGCATCTCTTGAGGACCTGCTGTGTGCCAGGGCAGCACTGGGCTGTATGGGGCACAGGGAAGAAAGTACTCTGTTCCCTGACCCTGAATGGCTCTGGCTCTGGTACAACTATTCATTCTGATCTGCAGCAATTCTTGAGAACCTACTGTGTGTTAAGTTCTGGGCTGTGATGTGTGGGTCATAGGGAGGGTCCAGCTGTTGATCCCTGAGGGGCAAAAGTGTCTGACTTATTAATTCCTCAGCCTGAACTTTCCTGGGTGCCGAGACCTGTGCAGGCGATATCAGGATGCAGATCAAAAACAAAAAAATAGGGCCTGGGGTTGTGGCTCAGAGGTAGAGCGCCTGCCTAGCATGCATGAGGCACTGGGTTCGAGCCTCAGCACTACATAAAAATTAAACATTGTTCCACCTAAAACTAAAACTAAATAAATATTAAAAAAAACAGCAGCCAAGCAACTACTGCAGCCCCCCAGGAGGGGCAGCAGCCAGCTGCGTCCGCCGTGTGCCCGGCCCTCTGTCTCAGGTGTGTTCCCACAGAGCTTGTTTCTGTCGGATTTCTCCCTGTGTTAAAGACCAGTGTATCTCGGCTATTTTCAAGCCTGAACTTTTTTTTTTTTTTTTTTTTGAAAAATCATATCATTTTCAAACATTTCTTCTAGTGGAGGTGACTTGTTAGCTGGGGGACATGGCCATAAGATTTTCTTTTATTCTTTTTTTTTTTTTCAATAAATGGTAAACCACATGGAACATATTTACTGCGAGGAGATCTTGTTAGGACTTTTTAGTCTTGTAAAGTGATATGACTGTCACTGTGATTTCATCTGTGGCAGGTGGGTGGCGCTGATGATTCCCACGTTCCACTCTTCCCTTGAGCAGTCCTCCGGATAGGCTCCTCCCGACACTTCTGGGTGCAGCTGGGAAACTGCTCTGGGAGGTCTGGAACTGCCCTGCTGTGGTCACGCTCTCCCCCTGCCAGGCCAGGGGAACAGCCCAGTTAGCCGCCGGTCACAAGGAGGACAGTGGAGTGCGGCTAGCTGCACCCTCCTGCCTGGAGCCCTCACATGATCCACAGTTGACCACAGATGCCTAAGAGAGCCAAGACCCATCAGGCCTGGTTCAGACCAGCAGAACCACCGGGCTGACCAGCTGATGCAAAAGAAATCGTAAGGGACAACTGGTGATTGGTTGTGCAATGAGGGCTGATAAAAACATAAAAGTAAGGTCTTGGGGGGCTTCCTCACACGGAATAAAAGGTGGGGTCCACTGTGGAACAGGCCCCCTTGGCAGGTGTGTGCAGAACCACCCCTTCTGGAGGGACCCTCCCTGCTCTGCATTCCTCCTGTCCTTCTCTCTGAGCACAAGTTCTGTCTTAGATCCAGATTGCTTTTTCAGACGGCTCCTTTAGTAAATATGCAGCATCACCCAAGGAGTAGAACCTCTCACTGTCATTTATTAAATGTGTATTTATTAATATTTATTAAATATTTAGTAATATTTATGCCTAGTAGATCATAAAGTGAACAACTAAAAGGCCAGCCAGAGACTCTAGGCATTTCTGTGGGTCCACCTGCCTGTGTGCGTTTCCAAGTCCCCACGTGGAGGTGCTGAGACTGCTCTGGAGGTCGTGGGGTTCAGCCCCGGCCCCCTGTGTGTTCCTTGCTGTGTGACCTCTGGTAAGTAAGGGAGCTTCTCTGAGCCTTGGCTTCCCAGGACAGCCTCTGCCCCACAGTGCTCAGGCTGTAAATGAGGTGTGGACAGGAGGGGTTCGAGGCCCTTCTTGTGCCTCAGCTCTTACTCTTCTGCATGTCCACACAGGGTCTGCTGGGGTCACCGCCGAGAGCAGGCCTCTCCCCCCACCCCACCCCCGCCCCTGAGTTAGGTGTGGCCGCAGGGAAAAGCGGACCCGCACAGGAGGAACAGGTAGGGCCTCTTGTCCGTGTAGGAGAAGCGGAAGGCCTTGTGGCAGCGGCACTTGTTGGGCCGCTCCCCGGTGTGGGTGTGCACCAGGTGGTGCTGGATCAGATAGGCGCCCCGGAAGGCCTTGCCACGCTCATGGCAGGCCTGGGGGGATCTTCTGGTGCTCCAGGAGGGAGGACACGTGGCCGAAGGCGGCGCTGACCCGCAGGCACCTGTAGGTCACTCCCGGTGTGCACCACGCGGCGCTGGAGGAAGTGCAAGCGGTTGCTGAAGCGCTTGCCACAGTCCTGGCACTTGTAGGGCCGCTCACTGTGTGCGTGCGCTGGTGCTGCGTCAGATGCCACACCTGCCTGAAGGCCTTGGTGCACTGGCCGCCGGCTTCTCGCCCGTGTGGATGCGCTGGTGCTCTGCCAGCGAGACGCTCCGGCACACGTAGGGCTGCTCCCCCGTGTGCGTGTGCGTGCGCCGCTGCTGTGCCGGGTGCGCGATCTGCTGGAAGGCCTCGGCGCACTGGCTGCAGCAGTACGGCTTCTCCTCGGTGTGGGTCTCTGGTGGCGGACCAGCCGGAGGAGAAGCGGAAGGCCTGGGCCCACTGCGCCCTCAAAGGGCTTCTCGCCCGTGTGGATGCGCTGGTGCTCCATCAGGGACAAGCGGTTGCGGAAGGCCTGGGCGCACTGCACGCAGGCACAGGGCTGCTCTCCCGTGGGCACGCGCCGGTGCTGTGTCAGGTGTGTGAAGCGCCTGAAGGCCTTGGTGCAGTCCCCGCAGCCATAGGCTTCTCGGGTGTGTGCGCCAGTGTGCCACCAGGCAGGAGCCCTGGCTGAAGGCCTTGCCGCACTCGTGGCAGCCGTAAGGCTTCTCCTCCGGGTGCGTGCGCTGGTGCAGGGTCAGGTGCACGCTCTGGCTGAAGGCCTTGCCGCACTCAGGGGCAGGCGAACGGCTTCTCCCCAGTGTGGATTCTTCGGTGCAGGATGGATGCTGAACAGTACCTGAAGGCCTTCCCACAGTCCTCGCTCCTCCAGGCTTCTTAGGGCCTCCACCCTTCTCCCCTTGGCTGGTGCCAGTGTTCTGCTCCAGGCTCTTCCTTGGCGCGGTCTCTCCGCAGCCTGGTTTTGCTGGGCGCGCCCAGCTGGGTCACAACAGAGCTTGATGTTCTCGCGCGCAGCCCACCGACCATGTTCCTGGACGGCCTCTCCTGCAGCCTCTCCCCTGTGGGCCACTGGCTCCATGCAGCTCTCTGGGTTTTCCCGTGGGTCCTCAAACTCGCCTTCCTCTTTCCAGGGACCTCCCAGCTCAGAGCCCTGGAGGGTGGTGCTCAAGAGCCCCTCCATCCTGCTCCCCGGGTGCTGCGTTGATCTTCCAGCTCCTCTCTGGATCTGAAAGAAAAATAAATCATCAGCGTTATCCTTTGCCCTGGGCTGGGGAGTGTAGGAGCTGGCCTAGGAAGGTCTTGGTGCCGCTCCCTGGACCTGCCTACCCTGGCATCTTGAGTCAATAATTCTTTGCCCTGGGCGTTCACCCGTGTGCTGAGGGAGGCTGAGTGGCATTCCCAGTCTCCCCACGCTGGAGGCCAGTGGTGTTCTGCAGTAGTGACAATCAAAATGTCTCCAGACATTGCCAAGTGTTCCTGGGATGAAGTCATCCCTGGTTGGGCATCTGAAACAAGTTCAAAAAAGATCCCTGGCCCACTCCAAAAAATCACAAAATTAATAAAAGAACCTGTCAATCTTAAATATGGGCTGTAACCTGGTGCTGCAGACTAGACCAGGTCCCCAAAGGACTATGTTGAAGCCCTTGCCCTCAAAGTGATGGTTTTTGGAGGTGAGGCCTTGGAGAGTTGGGCAGATGAGGCCATGAGGGGAGGGCTGAGCTGGGTTTGTGTCCTTATAAGAAGAGGAAGAGAGCAGAGCTGCCCTCTCTGCCAGAGGAGGACACAGTGAGGAGGTGCCCTTCCCATGCATCTGACCTCAGGCTCCTGCCCCAGAACCCTGGGGCTGCAT